CTGAAGAGAACAGTGTTTTTTTTTTAAATAAAAAGTTTTTATTTTCCATTTATTCAACATATACAAAATTCAGTTTACAAAATAAGATAAATTCATAATCATAACCATTGGTGCCGCTTGCTCATTCCCCCCCAGGCTACATCCACCCTCTCTAATACCTTCCCTACTTCCCTCCTCTTTCTCTCCTCCCCTCCTACTCTCTTCCCCTCCCCTTCTCCTCTTACCATCCTACTTCCTCCCTGCACCTTCCTGCCCTTTCATCCCTCTCAAACACAGGAATGCAGCATAAGGGAAGCGCCCAAGCAGCACCTCTCTCATAAATTACCTTATCTATATTATCCTATTCTACCTATTTACCCACCCACCCACCCACCCATATAAACAGTGTTTATATGGCCAAATGCTGGCCTGAAGATACTTAAGTCTCTGTTTGGAAATGTTACATGCAAACATGCATACAAGAGAAAAGTTTTACATGTACCCATAGTTGAGCCTTATGTAAGTGTGCCGATGTGAATTATTCAGCAGGCAATGGTCGGATTGAAGGCCAGCCAAACTGAACACAAACAGATCTGGACTTCCCAATTAGGTCCTGTCACTGTTCAAACAGGATCAGTTAATGCACTTAAGAGCTTTGAAAAAGCATCAGGAATAAAATAAAATTCCACCTGCTAAACAGGAAAGAAAGAGGCCTTAAATTAAACACACACACACACACACACACACACACCAGAGTGACAAATTGCCCAGGTCTCTCTGTTTCACAAATCACAGCTCTGCACAGTGAATTTTCCTTCCCCCTCACATTATAATAATCTTCTACATGTAAATAAATAAACGCGGATGCCTCTCAGCAAATCTGTCACTTCAACTTTGCCGTCTGATGCGTTCTCGGCAAGGCTTGCTTTCCTGGTTTGCCATTTGTCATCCAGCCATTTTTTGGGGGGGAAATGCATCACGGAGATTGTGCAGCTTGTACCACAAAGGAGATGGTATGGGTTGCACCAGAAAAATGCACCACAAGGAAGCCCAGAAGCTTGGCTCTCCAAATGAGAAGACTTATCTGGATTGAATTGTTCTGTATCTTAAAATGCTTCTGAAAAGACACCATGTTTTTCTACATTCATCACTACTGCTGTAAATCTGGGGAGTTTGATGGACAAAACTTGAGAATGGTGTAAAAAGAGAAGAAGCACCAGAGGGAAGGACGAGAAACAATGGTTGGAAACTGATCAAAGAGAGAAGCAACCTGGATTTAAGGAGAAACTTCCTGACAGTGAGGACAATCAACCAGTGGAACAGTTTGCCACCAGAAATCGTGGGCGCTCCATCACTGGAGACTTTTAAGAAGAGACTGGACAATCACCTGTCTGAGGTGATTGTCCAGTCATTGGACAATTGGTGATTGTCATTGGTGATTGTTAAGTGGAGGGCTGGACTAGAAGACCTCCAAGGTCCTATTCTATTCTGTTCTGTTCTGTTCTGTTCTGTTCTGTTCTGTTCTATTCTATTCTATTCTATTCTATTCTATTCTATTCTATTCTATTCTACTCCTGTTCCTGTTCCTATTCCTATTCCTATTTCTATTTCTATTCTAAGCTTCATTTGTCTACCAGTTGACTCTGAGATCCCTAGATGGACAGAGACCTCAGAAACACTTGAATCACACGGGCATTGACACAATCTCTATTAGTCAATTGCAAAAGGCAGCTTGACTTGCAATAACTGACATCCTGCAACACCATCAAACATCCACATATGCCTAATCCCAGGTCCTTGGGAAGGACTCAATAGGTGGACAAAAGTGCCAAATCCAGCCTAAACATCTGGCTGATTGCGCAACCATCTATAACAACAACAACAACAACAACAACAAGTCCACTAGTCTGGATGGTAGACATGACAGTACCCGGAGACAACAGAAGAGAAGAGAAAGAACTGGAGAAGAAAACAAAATACAAAGACCTGCAAATAGAAGTAGAACGATTGTGGCAAAAGAAAGCAAAGATAGTATCAATGGTCATAGGGGCCTTGGGTGTAATCCCAAAACAACTGGAGCATCACTTGGACACCTTCGGCATTGACAACATCCCCATCAGTCAATTGCAAAAGGCAGGTTTACAGCTGACATCCTATGACGAGAAACTTTAAGACCATCAAACAACATCATCTGCCTAGCCCAGGTCCTGAGAAGGACTCGATGAGTAGACAACAATGCCAAATCCAGTCTGAACATCTGATTGGTGGTGTGACCAACCATCATCCTCATAATAATCCCAAAACTGTTCCTTGATTTCCTCCCCCCCCCACCATGCCAAATTGGCATGAATTTGCTTTCTCCCCCTTTTTTTTCCCAGCTTCCAAACTCACAGAGCTGATTTGGATATATCTGAGCAGATGGCAGCCTCCAACTTTTTTCCTTTGAAGCTCCTGTTTTTCTCACCCTGCAACTCCGAGCAAGGGAATTGTCAGGTAAATCAGCTCGGTAGGAGATTAAGGCACAAATGACGAAGAAATTAAAAAGATAACGCTAGCAAAATAAGTGGCTGGCTGGCTGGAGCTGCAGAGTTAGCAGAAGAACAGAAGAGCAAACATTCTTTTACCTTGTCTGATCCTGCCAGCGTTTTATTTTATTTTTCAAAAAGAGAAAATTCTAAGCATCGGCTCCTTTATTCACCTTGATGCTATTAGCAGGTTGCCTTACAGCTATGCCAACCTCGGTAATACGGCTTAGCAGAGAACAGACATATGCACACCTAAGAAGGAAATTCAAAGTGTATTTTTAGGAAACATCCCGGTAATAGTCTTGGGTCTATTTATAATTTATTGGCCAAGCACCACCAAACCCTTTTAACGTTTCCCAGATGAAGGACTTATTATTAACTTCTGATTAGAATCATCTCTACCAAACTGACTTTGCTTGCTTTCTTTGACTAGGGTTGAGCAAAAAAATATTTGATGTGTTACATAGACATTTGTGTGGGTGTGTATCAAAGCTCTTCTCTTTCTGTTAATATATATATATATATATATATATATATATATATATATATATATATATATATATATATATATATATATATTTACCTCCAAGGATCATGTTTCCCAGATATTTGACCATGTGGCTTTCACTTGTTCTCACTTTCGGTGTGTTTCATTGTAAGAACAAACCTGGTTAATGAGCAGGTAGCATAATATTAGCTCATCTGTTTCATGGTGGGCTTGGATAAGACAATTGGAAAGAGGTGCATCTTTATAGGAGAACTGAAGTGCATAATGGTAAAGGGTTGGATATGGATCAGTGGAAACCAGTTTTGAGTCTACCCTTAGCCATGGAAGTTCATACATTTCAACAGAATTTGAGGGAACACAATTGTTGGGTTCATATAAAACCATAGAATGCTCACACTATGGATGAACATGAAAACCCAATTCACACAATTGATAAAAACAATGGTTAGGATCTTACAACATGCCAAAATGCAATTACTGTCGGGCTCCCAAACCAAGAAAGAGATGTTGAGGTTTTTCTAAGCCAGTGGTGGCGAACCTATGGCACGGGTGCCAGAGGCAACACTTGGAGCCCTCTCTGTGGGCACACGTGCCGTTGCCCCAGTCTTGCCTTCCCGTGATACCCTCCTCACCAGCAGCCCTCCTGGAGGAGAGTCACCCCCGAGCATGGCCCACGCGGAGCAGCACAGCCAAGGATATGGCAGCCAGGCAGCGTAGACAAGACTCTGCCCTCATACCCCATCATGCACAGTTGATGGTGCGGGACGCGAGCAGAAGGCGTGGCCCTCATGGCGCTGCTGGGCTGCCTGGGCAATTTGTTGTGGGCCCTGGAGGCATTGAGTGGCCTTGTGGGCAGGTGGAACAGGGGTGGAGTGGGGGCGGGGCATGGAGTGGAGTGGGGGCGGGGCCAGATTTTGGGCACTCGGTCTCTAAAAAGTTCACCATCACTGTAAATCTAAGCTGTTTCCTTCATTGTTCCTCACCGATAGTGTTCTGTTCCAGCCTACTATCATCCTTGTTAACTTCACAAGGACAAAACCCCTGCTACTACAAAAGGCTGGAGACTTGCAAACAAAAACCCCTTTTAATTCTGTTGACAAACCTGTCAAATACAGCAAACTCCAGTCCAAAAGAACACGACGAAAAGCAGACACGAAGTTACAAGAGAAGTCACAGACCAAGATTCCAAGACGCAGTTTTCAAACGGTTGCTTTCAGCAACCAGCACCACCCACACCTCCTCCCTTTATTTAGCAGACCTAAGGCGGTGCCTCCCCTTGCCGTTTCTTCTTACTTTGGAGGTGCCTCATTGACCTCTGTTGACTTACTCTTGCTAATTGACGCCGTCTGCGTGCGTCAATTAGCAAGTCCATCTGTTGTGATTCCTCCAAGTCTGACTCATGCTCCTCACACAGCTGAGCTTCATCAGAAACACGACTGGAGGGCCCAGGCTCTGCATCAAACCGTGAGTCCTGTACTTCAGAGCCTTCCTCTGGCTCTGATGGCCCTTCAAATGCCTCCTCCTCCACCTCCTCCTCAGATTCCTCCGACTCAGCTGTGGGGAGCACAGGCTGGCACGGAATCACAACAGATAGACAGAATCTTGCCAAACTAAAGCCATAGTGACTGGACGAACATTAGGGACCAGCTCATCCACTGTGTATTTTGTGGCGTTGCTATTTCAAAATATTAAAGCCACCTCTTGATTGAACAGCTGCATTCCATACAGTGTCATGATTAGAATGATGGACTTCAGCAGATCTCCAGTCTACTGAAATGATGGTCTTGAGTGATCATCAGCCAATAAACCATTCTTCAACCTACCTTTACTAGAATGTTAGGAAGACATTGCTCTCCAAACACCTTGGGAAGCAGGCATATTATTTTTAGGAGCGGTAAGGAAGACAGGTCGACGTTCCCCTGAAAGCAATACAAGAGTACGACAGACCTTTTAGAAATCTTGTAGGAATATCATCCAGGATCTCTTACCATTGCTAATGGGACGATCCCCACTAGATCCTTCTGGCAAATGAAAATTTCAGAAAGGGCAATCTCTGTTATTTTCTTCTGAGGATACTCCACTTGCCAGGATATTGGCTGGGTTCCAGAAAGGCTGCTGAAGCTGGCAATTTCAAAATTCAGTCTGACAACTTCGCTCAACATGTTGTTATGATTGCTTCTGAATGAAAAGAAACAGAGAAAAGGCTTTTGACTAGACGGGATGGCAAAGAATGATTTAAAAAAAAAAAGAACTAGGCAACCAATGAAGCAACAACACATCATACATGAACAATTGGAAAAGAAAGAACAGGGGTAATTAAAAATTAAAAAAAAAAATAACATTTGTCTTCAAGCAAACCAAATGGCATCGTTTTTAAGCCTTTATCACAGTGGTTCTCAACCTTTTTAATGCTGCGACCCCCAACCGGTCGTAAGTCGAGGACTACTCAACCGGTCGTAAGTCGAACACTACTCAACTGGTGCAGCACCGTTTGCAGAATGGGACTTTTGGCGGGCTCAGCAGGGCAGAGACAGCCTGGACAATTCCTATTGGCTTTGGAAAGCCAATAGAATTAGACTCTATTCAAGAGAGTCTATTCTATTGGCTTTCAAAAGCCAATAGAATAAAAGGGAGTAGCACAGCTAAGGAAAAGGGCGAAAAATGGCGGACTTCGTTGTTTGGCGACCCCCGTGAAATGGTCATTCGACCCCAAATGGGGTCGCGACCCACAGGTTGAGAACCACGGCTTTATCGAATCTCGCTGTTTGAGGAAGTGGCATAACATTCTCAGAGACTCTACAGCCGCAAGGTTGTTAGTAGGGCAATGTTGGAAGAAGGAATCTTTGCCTACTTTGCAAGAGTGGTTTCTTAAAGTTTCCTATTTGGCGGAAATGGCAAAGATTTCGGCTTTTTTGAAGTATCAATCGCAAGAGAAGTATGTTGTGGTATGGAAAAAATGGATAGATTTTATACAATATAAGTTAGATATAAAAATATTATTTAGTTTTTTAACAATTTATATTTAAAATGGAATATTTTGGTTTTTTTTCTTTCTTTTTTTTGTTCTTCTTTTTTCCTTTTTTTCATTCTTTTCTTTTTTAAATATTTATCTTTTGTATTCATGTTTCTTTTATATATATACTATTGTTAATCATTTTACAATTTTTCTAATTAATGTATTTAGATTTTTAACTAATGTTAGATTTATTTATGGTTTATATCTTTTTTTAAGATTTTTTGATGAAATTCTAATTAAGCCTATATCCAGCTCTGGGAAGGTCAGGGGAGGGAATGGGAGGGTTGGGGAGGTTGGGGGGAAGATTGTTTTGTTTTTTTTTTGTAAAATTGTCAAAATTTAATAAAAATTATCTTTGAAAAAAAAAAACCATTCTCAGAGACTCTTCCCATCCTGCTTACAATCTTTTTGGACGGTTGCCTTCTGGCAGAAGACACAGAGCAATTAAAACTCGGACCACACATTTTCTGAATAGTTTTTATCCCAGAGCTGTAATTGCACTCAATAATGAACTAAAGGGCCACCATCAGTGAACTGTTGGACAGTATTACTTGGTCTGTTGGGTGGATGTTTGGGTAGTTTTAGGGGTGGGGAACTGTGGTGGGTGGAAGTATGTTTGGGGATTATGTGTGTGGGATCTGGTCTTTGGGTGTCACGTAAATTTCGTTGTATGTGTACACTGTGTATACACATACAATGACAATAAAGTTTTATTATTATTATTATTATTAATAATGATAATAATAATAATAAATATAGAGAGTATATTAGAGAAAGTCTGAATGTTGGGATTTTTAAGTAAAATGTGCTGGGACAAGTGGCCAGGCCAGTTAAAGAGAAAGCAAAATTATCTATTTAAATCTGTTACAGTGAGTTGGAGAAGCTGTATACCTCTTCTAGCAATTGGCATGAGGGAAAAAAAAAAAAGAAATTAACAGGAGTTGTCATCATTAGTTAATCAACTGCCACCTGTCCCCCCCATGCATTTGAGCTGCAACCTACACGGATGAATCCATCAAATCAATGGAACCAACGGTCAACTTGAAAGACACTTCAACTTTACCCCTTCTCTTTGCAAAATGCCAACTCAATGGGTGTGTTTAATTTGTCCCTGGCTAGATTTCAAAGCTGGCAATCCCTTTTGTTCATTTTTAATCAGGCCAGAACACTAAATGCATCGTCCTTACACTGAATGGACTTCACAATAACTCACAGCCATGTGATATCACCACGAAACCAAGTTGGAGTGAGCACAACTTGCATCCTGATCATATTCTAGGGCAGTGGTTCTCAACCTGTGAGTCAGGACCCCATTTGGGGTCGAACGACCATTTGATGGGGGTCGCCAAACGATGCAGTCCGCCATTTTTTTCCCCGTTTTCCTTAGCTGTGCTACTCCCTTTTATTCTATTGGCTTTTGAAAGCCAATAGAATAGACTCTCTTGAATAGAGTCTAATTCTATTGGCTTTCAAAGCCAATAGGAATTGTCCAGGCTGTCTCTGCCCTGCTGAGCCCGCCAAAAGTCCCATTCTGCAAACGGTGCTGCACCAGTTGAGTAGTCTTCGACTTATGACCAGTTGGAGGTCGCGGCATTAAAAAGATTGAGAACCTAGGGCCACCCATGAAATAGGTGGGAGAGGTAGAAAGGAGAAGGCAAATGAGAAGAGGGGGATTATGAGAAGTCTAGAATGTCCCCACATTATCTAAAAATCCAACATTCAATTCAGTTCATCTCCAAGACTCTCTACTAAGGGTCCAATCTGGGATCAGAGGTTTAATCTTCTGAGTCTTTGGACTTATGCTGGAGTCCATCCTCAAGGAATGTCTCTCTCACCAGTGTGTGTGTCCTCTACTAAGGTCCAACAGCACCTAGTTTGACACCTAGAGAGAACATCCAAAGTTCTCTCTGAGCAGATGGGATACCAGTCATAAAAATATGTAGGTTCCCCCGCAAATCCCAGTAACCTCTCATTAGCTACCACCCCACTCAGCTAATTTCATATCAATGCGGCTTACACAGAAAAGTTCAGATGCTGCATAAAAATGGGGGCACTGGACAGTTTTGCTCTCCCTCCTGCTTAAAAGGAAAGATGGCACCAATTCCTTCAGCCTTTTGGTTTCAAACCTTTCTCTTCAAATTTCCTTAAATCTTGTTGACCTAAAACTTTTACAAAAGGAACTCAGTGGTGTTTTTGAGATGGAAGCTAGCCTAACTCCGGCGCCATCTCTTTCTTCCTTTGAGACGCTGTCTCCCCTTTTAGTGTTCACCTGATGTGCCATTCTCGGGCTGAGAATGTGGAAAACAAAAGAGTCAGTGAAAAGCATCACTTTAAGGGCTTTAAAGTTACAGAAAATGGATGCAACGAAGAACGGCATTTCTTTAGGAAGGCACGGGGAAGAAGATTCACTTCTTTAAAAAAAAAAGCTACTATTTTTACATTTCCCCTTTTTCCTCTGTGTGTGTCAATGGGAAACCTGCCAACTAAAAACAAATGAAGCTGAATTTCCCTCCCATACGCTTATGCCCTAAACTAGATAACCGTTTCAGGTCAAGATATCCTTTGGAAGGATGTGATAGATGAATTCACAAAAGACTCCTGGGAAGACAGCGGAGCTTTCCCAGTTGAATACTTTGGACTCTCCAAGTTGGGATTACGTGGCTCCCAGTAGCATCTGCAAGAAGGGTCAACATTTGCAAGAAATGGGTGCAGCATTGCAACAGAAGCCCTGCCCCTTTTGCACAAGGCTTGCATGAGCACAAGGGGTCCAATCACACCATTGCACCTACCATATTTCAGTATTTGTAGATGAGCAAAAGCTGGTTCAGAACCTTGGAGAGCTCCAGACGGAAGCTGGTCAAAAGTCCTCTGTTTCAGCTCTTGATATTTCCATAGAATCATAGGGCTGGAAGGGGCTTGGAGGTCTTCTAGTCCATCCCCCTTCCCAAGGCAGGAGTCCTTATTCCATCCCGGACAAATGGTTGTCCAATCTTTTCTTGAAAACTTCCAGCAATGAAGCACCCATAACGTCCGGAAGCAAGCCATTCCACTCTGTTCTCACTGATGGGAAATTTCTCCTAAGTTCTAGGCTAGATCTCTCTCCGTCTCTCATCCATTGCTTCTTGTCCTACCCTCTGATGCTTTGGAGAATAGGCCAAGCCTCTCTTCTCTGTGATGGCCCTTCAAGTATTGGAAGATGGCTATCATGTTTCCCCTGAGTCTTCTCTTCATTAGGCTAAAGATACTTATACTAGGATGTATAGTCCAGGCCATGGTTTTCCAAGTTGCAATGTATGGCTGTGAAAGCTGGACCATAAAAAAACTGAGCGCCAAAGAATGGAGGCCTTTGAACTCTGTGCTGGAGAAGACTCCTGCGAATTCCCTGGACTGCAAAGCGATCAAACCGGTCAGTCCTAGAGGAGATCAACCCTGACTGCTCTTTAGAAGGCCAGATCCTGAAGTTGAAACTCAAGTACTTTGGCCACCTAATGAGAAGGAAGGACTCCCTGGAGAAGAGCCTGATGCTGGGAAAGATGGAGGGCAAGAGAAGAATGGGACGACGGAGAATGAGGGGGCTGGATGGAGTCACTGAAGGAGGCGTGAGCTTAAATGGACTCCAGAAGATGGTAGAAGACAGGAAGGCCTGGAGGAACGTTATCCATGGGGTCGCGATGGGTCAGACACGACTTTGCAACTAACAACAACAACAACCTAGCTCTCTTAGCTATTCATCATACAATTTAGCCTCCAACTCAACCAGCTTCCAACAAGTAAAGTCAACGGAGAAGTTGGATTCACTTAACAATCATGACAAAAAGGGTTATAAAATCAGAAGTGACTCTGGTCCAAATTGTAAGTCAAAAGATTACCTGTAGAATTAACATACCCTATCAATGGGCAAAGACTCTCTACTGAAATTAGATTTTAAAAAAATATTTCAACAGATCAGGGGTGCAAACCCTCTTTCAGATCACGCTCTGCAAGGAATTCTCAGGATCACGCTTCACAATGTAGATCAGCCCAGTTCAGAGAAGGTAACTCAATGGAGTTCCTTTGCAATCGTATGCATTGATTTAATCCACAGCCTGAAGCAGAAGATGGGAAAAGGGTCACCTTTTTATTGGCTAAGCAGAGAAAATTGCCTCGCTAAGAAATGTATTGA